GAAGACTGACAAATCCCTGGCCTGCCAAAGCAGCATCAGTATACTGGCATCAGATGCATCATATGAATCCCATCTTCCCATCTACTCATGGGAAGCACCATTCCTATGAAGGAATCAATTTTTCACAGCTGCTCTGGTTCTATTAGCTCCTCCACTGAATATTGAGGGGAAAATTCTGTTCAGCTTCATAAAATAAAAGGGAATTCTGAGAATGTGCAACGTCCAGAGGAGGTCTCTTGCACAAAAGCAAAACCATGTAAGACTATATAAAAGCACTTCTTTTACCAACTTTAGCAGATGTTTTAATGCTATCTCATTTTAAAACTAAGTTCTGCAGGTCAAATAGAACCAGAAACATTCAGTAAATATTTATTTTCTGTAGTTGAAAAAAATTAAAACATATTTTGGAGACAATAAAATTTTAACAATGGTGGGCGATTGCAGCATTCAGACCAAGCCTATGCAAAATATAATTTCTTGTACAAGATCTAAGATTGACTAAGAAGCTCTCAGCTTCCACTATGAGCTCCACTACTCTGGCATTTAAGTCCTAGGAGACTGGAAAACCCATCAGCAGTAAAGATTCAAATAGAATACTAAATTAATGTCAATCAGCATGGCTTTACAGAAAATATGACCTTCCTTCTTAATAAAAACCAAATAAGCTTGTCAAAATCTCAAAGGTTGTATTGATATAGTGCAATCATTATTTTCTAAGTAATGTCATATTAACCTACACCATGACTTGTGCTGCTCATTGTATATTTGCAGACTACCCGAAAAGGAGGAAAGCAGACTGGTGGCAAAGTTTATGGATAGTACCAAGTATGGCTGCAGATGAACCGCCAGAGAAACTTCACACTGCTGAGTTTCATTTGCCCCTTTATTTATCAGTATAAATCTTATATGAAGTTACACTAGCTATTGCTAACCAGAGCTAACTCTTAACACTGGGGTATCTTGAGGTTATAAGCTCAGTTCTATTCGTGAGTCAGGTCACTGCTCAGCAGCAGTCAGAAGTCAGGAAAGGAAGGAAAAAAACCTTGTGCCACTGTGTAAATGCATAGCTCTAGCCCACGTTGAACACTACATACTTCTGTTCCCAGCATCCCAAAGAAGTAGATCTGGAAGGCATTAATATAAAATATAAAATGAAATATCTGGAATAGATTCCCTATAAGAAACCATTAGGTAAGTCTGGCCTCTGCAATCTGGAGAAATCATGAGAAGGCAAATATGCCAGACCTATAACATAACCAGATTGGACAGGATTGTCCAATATAGGAAGGTATATCAAAATGAGACCAGACAGGAATAAGAATCCAAGCAAATAAGATACAGTTGCAGGTTTCTTCCTGTGACAGGTCCATGAACCATTCTATTTCTTGCTTACCTCTACTTCCTGGGAAAAACTGAAAAACTTTGTGGAAGATGAAAAGTGCTGTTACTAAACAGGTAGAAAACCTATTCTCCATAGGCTGGAAAGAGATATGAGCCAGGATAGTACAAGGAAGAGATATTTTACGGACTCATCTTACACTCCTGCCCGTGCATCTTTTTTTTTTTTTTTTTTTTTTTTTGTCACTGTACACTGTGTGTACCTTTGGCTTGAACCAGTACCAATACCCGCCCTAACATGCAGCAGCCTTAGAGAAGATTCTGCTACAGAACACAGGAGTAGCTGATTAAAGTATGTCTAACTGGTAGATCATAGGGGTGCTTGCAAGTCCCACTGAGATATTCTTTACCAGTTATCCAGGAGAAACATCTAAGGATGCTTGTGACAGGAATCAACTGGAAACAGCAATGCTTGGGATTCTTGTACCAACAAGAAACAGCAAAAGTTTGAAAAAAAAGTTTGAAAAGAACCCTAAAATTATAAAGATTCTTTACCACCAAAGTAGTCAGTAAAAAAATAGCTTCTCAAGTAGAAACTGCAAAGTTAAAACAGCATTTAAAACTGCCGCTATATTCCAAAGGGTATTATCTCGTAGTACATGTGGAATGCAGACAAGACTGTTCCCAGTTCACATTTTGAGCTTCTTCTAGATTGTATTATCAGTTGTGACCTGAAATTTCACTTGTAGCAGTCTTCCCCACTTCCTCCCCACAAACCATGCCATAACCATAGCTTACTGCTGTCACTGAGAGAAACCTGTCTTGCATGCAAGATATACCACCATCAAGTAAATCCTGGGATTATAGCATAAATCTTCAGTTTAAGCTTTTCAACATTCAAGATACACCATCTCCTGCACAATCTTCCTATACAGATGGTCATTTTCCACAGTCCCATATAGCTGCTTAACACATTTTAAATTGTAGCCATTATTCTCACACACGCTCCTTGTGCCTCTGACAGATCATCTTGCTGCATTTCAAGACCCATGCTTACTGAATAAACATGGGTCCAGACAGGAAATTGCAAGTATCTAACTTGAGGCAAAGCTTCTTTTTAGACCCCCATAATCCCAAAGACTTTCTCTGTCTGGATGTTCTGGCCTTAAGTGCTGCCAGGGAGATTTATTAGAGAAATTATGTGTGCCACATGTACACACTTGTCACAAACCCTATAGTAATACCTCTGGTCCAAAGGCCAGTCCATGTCTACTAGATCCCCAGACCAGAATCTCTCACATTTCTTACTGCTAAGCACATCAGAAGCAGAAGCTACTGGGAGGCAGCTATGCTTTTCCTTTTCCAAAAAAGATACTAGATACAGATACTATGCAGCACTAGCTGGAATGTATAGTCCCATGGAAAATTCTGTAGGTGTGTAAGGCTCTAAAGAAGAGTGGCAGTGTGACTAACACCAGGTTAACCTTCAAGCTTTCAGTTCAGGACCACATGTTTATATACACAGTTTATATCAGAACTTCTGTTTACCCATCCTTCTGTCAGTAACTTCTGCATACCAAAGCCTGGCCCCTAATTCTGTGGCCAATAGGCTTTCTTAAACAGACTTCATAGACTTTGACTCTCTAAATATTTTTGCTTGGTAGACTAAACCACACATCTACATGTTTTCTGATCTCTTTGAAGAACTACAAGACATTTGAAAAGCAGAACTTCCCTTTGCAGAACCAATGGTGACTCTTCCCAGATAGACACTAATCCTGCCTTATATTGTAGTTGCTGCTGTTTAGCTCAATAGGTCTGACAGCTGGTTAACAGACCTGCAGTTCCACAGATCCATCACAGAAACCTCTTCATATACTGCCACCACATTCATCACCCTTTGCTCCTCAGGAACAAAGCTAGGGCACATTCATCACCCCTTGCTCCTCAGGGACTATGCTAGGGAAGTCATTAGGATATATTTTGCTAATATTAATCCAGATGTTTTAAGTCTGACTTAGAAGAATTCTTAGGCAAATGTTATGGTAACTTATTAGCGCTCTAGGCTATTTATACTATAGGCCCTGTTGCAGCTACTTCAAATTGAGACAGATATGCCAAGTTTTTCAAATTATATGTTTAATACATACTTTTTTAATCCCATAAGTGTACACACATGCACACACCATCTTGCAAGGAGGGAGAATTTCCATCCCCATGTTAAAAACTCACAGAGAAGGTGAGACCTCTCAGTCAGTGGCACATTTGAGAAGAGTCCAGGTACTTTCTTTCACAGCTGTCCATTAGGAGAACAGCTTCCTCAACGGGAAAAATTCAGAAGCTTTGACAAGAGTGTAAAACATACAGCGAACTATAAGATAGTCCTATATAAACTAGGTTTTGCAAGTGTCATCTGTGCTTATTATAGTAACTTATGTTACAAAGAAGTATTATAAACAGAGTTCAAGCTTTCCACAAGCTAAGCAAGCCCAATTTCTAATGGTTGGTGCCATTTTTATAATGCTCTTATTCATTGTTCTCAGGAAAGGGAGCTTCAAAATTACAAATACAAAAGGTCATTTGGCTACTTTTACACACTACTTGCAACACCTTTTGTGCATATGAAAACATATTCTAAAACCTTGGAGGAAAAGATCAATAATAAATAGCTTACAAAGTAAACTATGCCATCTGAGTAAGATACAGAAGGTAGATAGATAGATTCCAACTTCTAACTAGTCTAATAGGCTTTAAAGCAGCACATATTTTTATTCAACTCTATTCTCAGTAGTAAGATCTGTAATTTTAAGGTAAATCCATTGCATCCAACATACCATTAAGGTTGTTTTTCTTTCTCATTCAACTCTGCAGAATCCTGGGCAAACAAGTCGGCAATTGAATCACAATCAGTTTTATTCTTTGTTGTTGGTTTGGTTTTTCTTTCCAGACCCAAAACAAAAGTTAAAAGTTAATGCATATAAACCAAAAAGCTGACCTTTGACTTCAGAAGAAAATTGAGCCAGATGTCGATTTACAAAAAGCCGCAGTTGATGATTCAGATCACAGTATAGAGTATTAATGTTCCAGGAACGAATTCCTGTAAAAAAAAAAAAAAAAAAAATAGAAAAAGTAAGTTGTCCTTGTCATTACATCTACTCCAGAAACAGAAGAAGAGAAAGAAAGGTGAGTAGGACACCCAAAGACCAGGGATACTCCACTAGATGAGCATACTTAGGATGGTGAAGACCTTCAGAAGCAGAGGACCATAAGATACTTACCTTGTATAAGACATTTCTTCCTGAAGAAATGAAGTGTTCCATGAAGGACATGCTGTAAGCAAGTCTCCATTCAACTTGGACTTCATGCAAGGGAAATCAACAAGAGATGAGGCCAAATGAATTACACTACCCCTTAACAAACAAGTACATTATGTTAGTTTTACATCTGCACTCTCCAGCACTCGTCACCGGTAGAGATGGGCTACTGTGTGGTTATGCTACTGGAAAGCTCAGAGACATCAGTTTCTTTGCCCTTATAGCCTGTGCATCCTCCAAGCCACAAAAACCCTCCACCCCTCCAACTCACTCTGCCTAATCACTCCTTCAAAGACACTGATCCTACTGAGACCATTTGAGTCTGTTCTTTAATCTTTATAATCTTTGCCAGCTAGTTACCTTCATATCACAGCAGGAAGGTGCTTCTGCTCCCAGAGCAAGTGGCACCAAGCCATACAGGGGAAGTCACCTTCAGACCTCAGTGTGAACAGGTGTACATTCTGGAGGACACCAAACACTACAGACCACCAATTTTCACATCCCAGTAGGGAGCAGCCTTTCCTAGATCATGTGATTCTACACTGTGCCACAATGAACAAAAGCAGGATATCACTATAAATCCTTACTCCAGCATCTGGTGCTGATGCCTGCTGATGTTCAGATGTTGAAGGCCAATGTCACAGACTTCTAAGGTTAACTGAAACAAGAATTTCAGCTCCAGTATTTATTGATGGAGTCCTCCCTGAGAGTTCTTTCACCATCTCTCTTGCATAAAATACATAAAAGTTGCATAAAGTACACAAAAGTTTTATTGCCTCTATTATCTACTTTCTTTCAAGGTAATGATGTTAATTTTCCATGGAGATATCATTCCCATTTACTGCAGTTCTAGCTCTCCATGTTGTGCAGAGCTTTTGCTGGCCACTGGTGGGAGAGGATCCTCAAGGGCTCCAGCTTTCTACACATACCAAGACACAGTAATCATTGAATCACACAGGTCAATAGTCTCAAGGCCTATAGAAACTACAGCAGCTAAAATAACCTTTGTGCTTAGTTTCTTTTTCTGGTGACAGCTGACACAGTGGAGTAGCAAAGCTTATTTATGCTTATTTATTAACAGTATTCACTTCAGACTGCACAAAAACTCCTCACTAAATCATCTGAGCTTCGGGGGGAAAAAAAAGAAAAGAAAAAAAACACAGAAAACCAAACAACTTACCAGCACAGCACCTTTCAATTTGTACACAGGATACAAACAAACAAAACACATAGAACAAGAAGATGGACAAAGTGTTTTCCTATCCTACACTCCAAGAGAGCATAATTGTTTAACAAAATGTCCAGTGTAAGAGAATCTCAATGCAGTAGTTATGAGCATTCTGACCTGGACAGGAACAAGGTGGCACTCTGCAGGGCAAATCTTGCTGACTAGCTGCTGTGTCATGGTCATCGTGTCCTACTGCAGCAATAAGTGCTATTTGAGGTACTGCTACATCCTCTAGGTTGCAGAAAGAATAGGTGCTCTTTCAGAGCAAGAAAGGGAAGAGTGGAATTATCTCACTTGCAACAATTTATTCATCATTTTCTTCCCTACAGGTAGTCTGAATTTACTCTTAATCTCTACAAATTTGCCACTATTCCAATTTATCACTTCATAGCGCATAAGCCTTGCTGATTAGAATCCTCTACCATGAGAGTGCAGACTATACCACAATAACAGTAAATATTCAAGCTCTTTGCAAATGCAAAGCCTAAATAGGGGATCATGTGACTCATCAGTTTTCCATCTCATTCTTTATGCCCTTGTGAATGTTTTATTTCCTGCTGAGGTAATTAGCTTAAAAGATTTGGCCTTTCTCTCCAGTACTAGACCTAGTCTTATGGATATTGTTTCAAAATTAGACAAAAGTAACACAGTAACAGAAAAATAAAACTAGCATTTTTCAGACAGCATTTTGGAAAAAGTGTTGTTCAGCTATCCCATAGATTCAAAATATCACAGCCTACAAAGCTCTACACCTGGAAATGAGCCACGATAATGCCCTGTAGCCACTATTGCATTTTCCTGAACCATGGTATAGAAGGAAGTCTGGAAAAACATACTTTTTATAGTAGTCAGGGCAGGGGATTTATCGACTGAAAAAAAAAGTCTTTAGTTGTTTTGTTGGTTTGTTTTTTTTGGGGGGGGGGGTTCTTTTGGGTTTTTGTTTTACTTTTTTTTTTTTTTTTTTTTTTTAATGCAGACAGGGTGCCACAGCCAACAGGACACAAAACAAACTCTAGCTTTTTCATCCTTTGTATAGTCACTGCTCTACCTTCACATGAGCCCTCTACAGCAGCTAACATTTAAGTAGGAATCATTATTTCTAAATTTCTTGAACTCCCTGAATCAAGAGTGCAGCTATCTACAACATCATAATATGCAGACTATTGACAGGTCTCAAGATTGCTGTCATTTTAACTATTCTCATTTTTCATATATTTCAATTTGCAAATATTGGTCCATTTTAAGAAGAGGTCATCCTCCCATTTCATAGTGGAGAAAACTAACTTGCTGGAGGTCCTATTCCATGTAAGAGGAAAGACTGAAATCCAGGTTTCCAGCTCTATGTGATTCACTTCTACTGCCAGTAACTTACTAATACTGCTGAAATGGCTACCTCTCATGCAAATGAAAGTGTTTACATTTGGCAGAATTTCAGCAGGTTTCTAGTCACAGAAGGCCAACTGTAGAACTTATTTCTACTGTGGCAGTTACAATTTATGTTGCAAACAGCATGTTTTTCCTCTGCAATGGGAATTCTCAGGTTACTGGTATGTGACCACATACCACAGTGAATCACAGTGAAATCCTTTAGTTCACTGTCTGAACTGTCACCATTTCAAAGATTCAGACAATGGATAAGGATGTAGGTTGGCACACCAGTTCAGTGAAGTGCCAAGTGAAGATGATCATCCTGCTGTGCAGGAAGCAAGAGTGGCCCCTTCAAAGAAGGCCTTTCAGAGGCCAGATGGTCATAATCAGATCTACCACTCCTGAACTAAAACCATCCCTTGAAAAAGGGAATGAAACACTCCTCATTAACAAAGTGGCCTGCTAACAGAGGTAGCTGGAAAAGCTGAAGTGAAGAAGTTGGACAATATTTGACATTTTTACACCCACCCTTTTCTTAAATTGCACCTGTTCTTCGGTAATGCTGATGCTTGGGAAAAAAACAGTCACAGAATTATCTCTGAATAACACAGTTTGGCCAATACTTATGGCTGTTATTTCAACCCAACATGCCTTGGCAGTGGGGAGCTGAGGGGAAGAGTGAAAGTGAGTCAGAAGGTTGTTACTTTATTTCACGAAGGTGTGCTAAACTGCTTATTAGAACAAGGATTCCCTTAAAGTCCTGATGTAGTTGACCAGCTCTCCTTTGTCTTTTGGTCAGAAACTATCAGAAACTGCCACAAAGGAAGAACTATCATCTCAGCACCTCCTTCTGCCTTACTTCTAAACAACACTGCGTCTAATATACAAAGCCTAATTAATTGCCAAGACCTCTGGATGTTACTAAAATATGGATAACAGAGAAGAAAAATGTTATGGCTGATCTATCCTGCATTGTGTCATTCCTGAAGCAGGTCACTGTGTGACTACTCCTCCCTCACTCTGGTCCATGGAGCTATAGACAGGGAGAGGCCAAACTACAGCAGACCCCTGTGCACAGCCGTCCCTGGGACCACAGTGAACAGTCTAGCAAGACACTTCCTCCATCAAGACAGAATTTTGGAGTAAGATGGAAATAAGATGCACCCTACCAAACCACTACTAAAATAAAGACTGAGGGGAAAGAGAACCACGAAATGTCTTTAAGCTTTAAGACGTTCGAAAACTGCTTTAGCTATATGTCACTTATGGATATAAAGCAGTGATCAGGGGAGATGCCGCAGAGCTCAGCCCCGCACTGCGCCGGGGATCCGAGCCCCGCCCGGCCTCGCCCTCCGCCCTGGCCCCTACTGGGCTCCGCGGCTTCAGCCTCGGCCTCCGCCCCGCGGTCCCGACAGCGCCCCGACCCACCCCGCAGCCACCGCCCGCAGGCCTCCGCCGCCGTCCCTCCGGGAGATGTCCGATGAAGCCCTGCGGCGAGACGGCGGTGCCGCAGGGCGGGGAGGGCACCGGCAGCTCCACCTCATCCCAGGCGGCGGCAGGAACAACACGGCAGGCGCGCAGTTCCGCGGCTCTCAGGGGCAGGGATCGCGTCCGCCTCGGCCCGGCCCCTCCGCCGCGGCCCCGCTGCTCACCGCGCTCCAGGGCCCCGCGCAGCGCGCCCCGCTCCGGCTCTGTCCCGATCTCCCCGATCACGGCCAGCAGCGCGTGCCGCCCACCGCCCGGCGGCGGCACCGCCGTGCCCATGGCGACCAGCCCCGCCGCCGTCTCCATGGCAACGCCGCGGCCGCTGCTGCAGCGCGCGGTCACTGGCGCGCGGCTCTTAAAGCGCCCTGACTCCCCCCCTGATTGGCCGAGCCGGCACGTGGTCCTGCGCTGCTGCGGGAGGGGGCGTGGCCTGCCCTTCCGGGGCCCCGCCCCGGCTCGCGCCCCGCCCGCGGCCCCGCCCCGAGCCCCGCCCCCCTGCTGCCCCGCTCCGCCCCGCGCGGCCCCGCCGCAGCCGCGCCCCCCGGCGGCGGGAGCTGGCCGCTGCCTCCGTGCTGACCGGCCGCTGCCTCCGTCCGGACCGGCCGCTGCCTCCGTCCGGACCGGCCGCTGCCTCTGTGCTGACCGGCCGCTGCCTCCGTCCGGACCGGCCGCTGCCTCTGTGCTGACCGGCCGCTGCCTCCACGCGGACCGGCCGCTGCCTCCGCGCGGACTGGCCGCTGTCTCCGTCCGGCCGCTGCCGCTCCCGGGCTGCCCACCCAAGGCAGGTTGTGCCGGCGCGGAGACTGCCGATGAGCTCCGGCCGGCTCTAGGGTGCGAGGTCTTAGTTCCTTCCGTCAAGATCGACAGAGCGGTACAGCGACCAGCTCGGATGCTCAAAACCGTGAGCGGGGCTCAGGCCTTTGAAAGAACAAATCAGGGGCAAAGGGGTGTTGGTTTACACTTTAGTTTAGATTTTAATTACTTAAATACAGAAATCCACGGAGATTTTTAAATGCTTGATGTTGAGTTGTTCCAATACCCATAATAAAGCCATAGAAGACAGCAGTTCTAAAGACTCCAAGGCTTGGTATTGTCATTCACCTTCCTTATCTCTCCACTCTTGCTTGCCCGTGAGCAGGTCCCTTCCCGGTGGTTCTTCCTTCTGTTCAATTAAAAGTAAGTGTAATGCTCTCCTGGGATAAATAATGGGATTTCCTGGATTCCAGACCCATGAGCTACAAGAACAATCTGAGCTGCCAGTGCAAAGCTGATGTGAGCTGTCCGTGGCTGTACTGGCTGGCTATGGTATATGAAGCAGTTCTTACTGTCTGTGGTGATGAGAGAGGCCATATCTTTGGGCACAATTTGCTCACAGCTCTGGCCAGCTACTGCTGAAAAGAAGTTCAATGCAGATGGCCTTAAGCTGAGACATAAGAGATCTGGATTAGATATTAGAAAAATTGTTTCCACTGTCAGAGTGGCCAGGCATTGGAGCTTGGGAATTGTTGCCCAGGGAAGAGGTGAAGTAACCACCCTGGCAGTGTTCAAGAGGTGTCTGGATCTGTATCTGGATGATGTGGTTTAGTGGTTTACGGGTTACAGTGGTAGTGCTGGGTGTATGGTTGGACTGGATGACCTTGAAGGTCTCTTCCAACCTTGGTGATCCTATGATGCTATGTGCAACAGCTGAGCAACCCCAAAGTATGAGACTTCTACAGGCTGAACAAGGGAGAGATACCAAAAAGTAGTTTCAGGCAGAAAAATCCATGTCTTTTCTGACAGAAGAGGAAGGACCAGCCTGTGCCAATGCAGTTGGATAGAAAAGCAACCCAGCTATTATTAAATTACATCAGTCAGCAATAATAGGCAGTGTTTCCTAAAACAATGTCAGGTTCTGCCCTGCAGTGCGCAGGATTTCCACAGGTGAGCTATAGTTTAGAAACCTGATGGACAGATAAGTCAGCATCCTGCCCTCTTTCATTCTTTTGTACCCACCAAGACTGCAGTTGAAACCTCATAAGGTTCAGAAAGTTGGCATTTTGGCAAGCATATATGAATCTATAGTGTCATAGGACTCTGACAAAAGATAGTCAGGGAAAAAAAAAAAAAACAACCACAGAAAGGGAGAAAAATATAAAATTATTATCTCTGCAGGCTACAGCTGATGTTACTAGCTTATGGAGTTTTCTCAAATTAAAATCTTAAATCAAAAGGTGGCCTAGTTCTCCGCAGATAAATTAGGAGATGATGCAATAGGTCTTTTTCACATTAAACTATGATGACACCACAGGCTATGAACTTTATGAACTAAACCTTGTAAAAAGGGAGAATTAGTATATCAAAAGGATTTAATCCATTTCTGTGTGTTGTAACCTGCATGGAAGCAATAATTTAATTTTAGAGGACTGCACTGAACAGGCAAATAAGTGAATAAAATAGTAAACCTGAAAATTATTGTTAGTGCACATTAAATTCTATCATGAAAGTAGGATTGTAGGTCATGGAAGGAAAAGATGACAACAACACATGAAGGTGAAAAATATTCAGATATTTTCATACCAGCTGATAGAAATACCTTCTGTTTTCTGGTGATTCAGACTTAGTACTTGCTGCTTGGTTTTGACGTGGTAGCTTTCCAGAGCCGCAGCTTTTCACTGCAGTGCAGAGATGCTCTTCCAGCTGGCTTTCTGCCAAGGAGAAAGGAAACAGGAGACATGCAAACTGGAGTGAAAGCTTGAAAAGAATACCCAAACACAGAGACTAGAAGCTCTGGGGAAGACTTTACAATTAAAACACTAATTCTGGTGATGTGACCATTTGCATTCTTCTACTGTACCATCAATTAATAGAATGATGATATTTCTGTTGCTCTCTGATGTGAATCAGAGATGTCTGTGGTCATGGTAGAATTGCAGTAGAAAAGGCTTGAGTCCTAAGTCTGTGTGCACTGCATGAGACAGTGAAATGAGGTATTTCCAGTTTACTGAGTGTAAATTCACACTCCAAAACCATATAATAGACCCATACAGAAATGACGGCATAAGCTTCTGCTTTCATGCACTGCAGCAGTAGCTGGCACCCCCATGAAAATCAAAAGCTGACTGTGCTGAATGCAGATATTAGAGGTCCTGACAAACACCACAGAAGTAGAGTGGCAAAAGCAGAGTAAAGGATTACTTTACTGAAGAATGAGTCACAGGTAAATCACCTTTATAAAAGGAGATTTAGAAAGTAGGATGAAAATAGCATAAAAAGGATTTTCATAATATTGTGAGAAGAACAGTCTACACTATTTCAATTCCTCAGTCCTTAAGCCTGGAATGATTACTTCCCGTACTTCCCAGCTAAAAATTTCCAAGTGAATAAAAGTACTTCAGGCAATCAGAGACCGATGACAGTACCCAAGTGAGGATAATGCCTTTAACAGTGGTGAAATATAGTATCATTTTGGCTGGGACATTTCTAAGAAGCAGAGAAAAATCAGGTGTCTACCTAAAGGGACTTTGTTCAGGCCTTGATCTCTCCTGTGGTGAGCACAGCCATCCCTATGTGGAGCAGAAGAACCCAGTGCTGACGGTGATAATGCTTTTATGTACAGATGGAGTCTTATGGTTGTTTATACGGACACTTCCAGAATGTATTGTAAGATAGCGAAACAGAGGGCTAAGCTTTTCAGTTTGGCCAAACCACATTTTTGTTTCTCTTTAATCCCATGGGTAATCAGAGTAGTACTCCTATTCCTTCCATTTTTATCTTTGAGAAAGTGTGGCAAGATACTATCTCCTGTGCAATTTGGAACAAAGCTCTGATCAAGGCCAGGCTATAAGGGCCAATGAAATAATCAGATATGGTCATTGTGTCAAGTGACTCAGAGCTTTGGAATTAAAAGACATGTTTATCAGACTTTGAAAGGTACTAATTTGTACTTTTATGGCAGTCCTTCTTTGAAGCCAAGGTGATTTTTAATCAATCAAATACTAAATACAAACTGGCGAGCATCCATACCTCTTTGTTTCATTTTCCCACATAACTAAAATAAGTCAAAATATTATAGCTGAAATGGTCAGGCAAAGTACAAGTCTAAAAAATCGAACATTACTGAAAGCTTTTTGCAGACTAAACTGTGTAGGTTGCCCGCAGCCTTACTGAACAGTGCAAAGAAATGATAATGCCACACTTTCCACCATAATTGTGCACGTCTTTCACAGCTTCTTCTGCTCAGTAAAGTCAAGCACTGATTTCAACATTTCTCCAGAAAAAGGTGCAGACAAACTGCACGATCCCGGCTTGTAATGAAGTAACTCAGTTGCAGTATTTCGTGGTGCATTTTGTGCGATTGAATAGGTTGCTAGCATTCAGAGAAAGTGATACGCACGTAAATAAAGCGAACACTTGAGAAGTTAATTTACTCTGGCAATCACAGCCCCGCCTGGCATGATCGAGTATCTGAGCTTTCTCGTTGTGGCATTCATGCAAGGAACATTTCGGTGTGGTCAGCCTTCGGCAGATGAAGGACGCGCATGCCCTGCGTTACCGGTAAGAGTCTTGCCGGAGGGGGCAGGAGCGCGGCTGGGGCGGTACCGGGGGCGGTACCGGGGCGGGGCGGTACCGGGGCGGGGCGGTGCCAGGGGCGGTGCCGGGGGCGGTGCCGGGGGCGGTACCGGGGCGGGGCGGTGCCGGGGGCGGTGCCGGAGGCGGTGCCGGGGGCGGTGCCGGAGGCGGTGCCGGGGGCGGTGCCGGAGGCGGTGCCGGAGGCGGTGCCGGGGCGGGGCGGTGCCGGGGGCGGTGCCGTGGGCGGTGCCGAGGGCGGTGCCGAGGGCGGTGCCGGAGGCGGTACCGGAGGCGGTACCGGGGCGGGGCGGTGCCGGGGCGGGGCGGTACCGGGGGCGGTACCGGGGGCGGTACCGGGGGCGGTACCGGGGGCGGTACCGAGGCG